GCTTGACCACGTGATGATGAACTCAATGAACCAGGTTATCATCTGCTGTAAATTCTGATTAGAGTGGCTTTCCAGTTCACACCAGCTGCACTGCAAGATGACCTGAAAAGCATGCAAACTGGCCTGCTGATATGGAAAATGTGAGACAGGAACAGCTGCAGCTCTTCCAAAGACAAGAGTGAGAGAATCATCCACTAGTAAAATAATCATTTTTCTTGGACACATAAATTAATTAATTAATTAAAATGTGAATACACTCAGGCATCAAGTAAACTGTGTGGAAAACACCACAGTGTTTTAACAAAATATAAAGAATCCTCTTTTTAAAAAGAAATATGGCCACAATCTAAATCATTCTAGAGGCATGAAGCTCAGGTTTTCCACTTAGCTAAGGCATACGGACATCTACACACAGGGGGCCACTTTACTTGAAACCAACCCCTGATGTCCAGAGTGGACTCTGAAACACTGCCAGTGCTGTGTAGCTAACAAGGTCAGCACTTTTAAAAACTGCTGATATATCTGACAGCACAGTAATGAAGGCGGTGTTGAAGTTCAGACCATTTGGTCTAAACGCTCTCATGACAAATGTAATTTCTGGGGACCAACATGATTTTATTAATAAACACATTCCTGTGATCGAGTCATCAAATACATAAAGATGCCCAAATAACTTTAGAGTACACAGTTATATGTATGGGGACCACAGTTGGTGATGAATCTTAGTGCCCCATGAAAAACACTATCCAATTAATGAACAGAAGCACATCTATAATCAATAAAAATGATCTCCACCTGTTTCTGTGTTACATAAAATGAAAAGCAGGAATTATTTCTATAACACCCCCCCCCTCCCCCCCAAAAAGTTTCAGTTTCCTTGCAATAAACTAAATCATAATCACTTGGAAATCCTAGATATTTAAAAGTAGACACCAACTCAGTTTGTTGACCACTTTTATCAAATTTAAATCAGACAGTGCTGATCTCACAACTTTTAGGAAAATATGACTGAAAAGGAGACCATAGAGAGTTAACCCGTTCACAGATCCGAGATTGAAGTACGTTTACCAAAACTGAAAGTTTAGGTTAGTGTATAATTAGTTAAAATAATATGATCACACCCTTTTAATAGAGAAGTAACAATGGTAGATTAGTGCAAGGGAACCTTTAGGAAAGGTTGAAAATAGATGCAACCGTGTAGCTGAGATTACGGCTGCTAGCTTTAGGAAAAACATTTAAATCTGAGTACGCTGATTTACGAGGATTAAGTTCTTTTTCTAACCTCTGTTGTGGTGAAGTGAATAAAA